CAGGCGATCTGATCTTCGTGCACACTGAAGTCAGACCAGAGCCTGGACTAGTGCCTGCTGGCTCCCACCAAAGGCAGCGCCGAAGCCCAGGTCCTCACCCCCAACAAGCGTGGAGACAGCAGCGCACCAGAAAAAGCCAAAGATCAAAGATGCCAGAAGGAACTTATGAGATTACCTCATCTTCTTCTTACTGGCCCGAGGTCACCCAACTTGTTCACAGCCAAGCTGAGGACTTCCCAGTTCAGTACTTTAAGTCTATTACTGATTCCCAGACCTCACCCTGCTCCTGAATTTTGTTCAGGTGCAGATTCAGCAGGTCTGCTGAGGGGCCCCAGAGGCTGGTTTTTGTTTGTTTGTTTGTTTTGTTATAGGATATGTGTGTTCACTAGAGAGAGACAGAAAGAGAGAGAAGGAAAGTGAGAAATCACCTCCTGGGGGGATATCTATTCCGCAATCCCTTCTTTTCTCATTTCTTCTTGAGATTTTGGGTATAGATGCCCTGAGTGATTTTGCCAGGTCTAGGACTTGAACCGTGCAGCCAGTCATGTGCACTCCAGTGCCTTAACTGCCACACCATCTGCTGGTCTGAGAGTCTGTATTTCTAGTGAGCTCTTAGGTGATGCTGACGCTGCTGGTCCACAGACCACATAGAAAGTGGCAAGGTTTACATGGAGGTTCACAGACTGTACCGGCCTTCAGGTGGCTCTTTAAAAGCCCTTTCTTCAGGAAAGCCTCCTTCCACCCTCATTCCGTGATTACTGGCTCCATGGCTTCTGTACTTTTTCCTTTGAAGAATTTATAACAACAGTAATTAAAGCGTATTTGTGTAATTATGAGTTTAATGTCTGCTTCCCAGGTGCAAGGCCTAGTAAAGCACACATTGCTGGGGCCGGCAGGTGGCGTGGTGGTTAAGGGCACTGGATTCCCACGTGGCCAACTGTGGTTTGAGCAAACTTTTAAGTTGAAATGCAACCTAAGCCAGCTCTGTGGCATGATAGTAACATGCTGCTCAAGAGGAGCCAGATCTCACATAGAGACTGCGGTTCAAATCCCCTGCCCAGTCAGCCTGAAACATAAACCAGGCATGCCCATGAGTGCCCAAGATCCAACAGGCTGGAGGTCTGGAGGAAGGGGACTGCAGTGTGACCAGACTCGGGAGGGTACTCCTCTCTCCTACTCATTCACTCTTGCATGCACACATATTCTATCATGAATAAAGGGAATTATTTTTTCACTATAGGGCGTGCGTGCTTCCGAGAGAGAAAGAGAGAGTAAGAAAGTATCCTCTGCGGGGGTGGAGGGCCATGCAGCAATCTCTTCCCCACCCTTCTCCTAGGATTTTGGGCACAAATGCACACATGCCTGGCGTGTTTTTCCAGCAGCCTGGGCCCAGGACTTGGACAGTCAGCCATGTTGGATCTAGCTGCCTTAACTAACACACCACTGGATGGCCTGGGGGAAAAAAAATTCTTTTTCAGAGAGGGATTTTTGCTACAGGGCGCATACTCTTGCCAAAAAGACACAGAGAGAGAGAGAGACAGAGAGACAGAAAGTGAGAAATCACCCTATGGGGGGATGGATACATCACCATCCCTTCTCTATTCTCTCAGGATCTTGGGTACTCATGCTCACATGCCTGGTGCAAATTTTAAGCTACTGGGTCCAGGACTTGAAATACGGTGGATAACATGGGAGTCCAGCAACATAACCATTACTCCATCTCCTGGTTTCCTAGAAGAAATGTTGAAAGAAGGAAGAAGAAAAAGAAAGGAAGGGAGAAAGAAAACAACTTTTTCCAACAAAGTATCTCCTAAATCTTTATCAAGTACAAAATCTCTCCAATATACTAGCCATTCTGCTTGGGGAATAGTGAGGCACTTGAAAACAAGCAATCCCTAATATTCTCATTGAGTGAACCATCTCTGGGCACTGAGAGGGCCCTGGGAGAGGAAGCAGTGAACAGCCTGACCAGCCCTGACCAGCCTGACAGCTGCATACCAACAACTGCCTGTCTAGTTCTTCTGCTGCCATCCTTTCAAGGAACCCCAGAGATCTTTCTTGAATGCCCAGCTCCTTGGCATGGACAGAGAAGTCTGACCACATGGTCATTCTGGGGAGGCAAAGTTTGTAATCTGTCTGGGTTCAGATGCCAGCTCTTTGCCTTTGGACAAGTGATTCAACCCCTCTGTGTTTGTTTCCAAATTTGCCAGTGCAGGGGCCAGCCTGGTGATGTGGTGGTTAAGGTGGATTTTACATGGCTAGATCCTACATGGCTGGCTGTGTGGTTTGAGACTGGGACCCCCACAGCTTGAGAAACACGTGTGCCCAAAATCGCAAGAGGAGAGTGGAAGAAAAGAGATTGCTGCATGGTTATCCCCCCGGGGGGTGCTTTCTCACCCTCTCTCCCTCTCTGTCGCTCTCTGGCAAGCACATGTGTCCTACAGTAAACCTATAATAAAAGAGAAATAAAAGAATAACAGTGCAGTAACCAGCACCTGCAAGGACTCAGGGAGATGACACGCAGGAAGAATCTAGCAGCATCCTGGCCTGAGATGCATGATTGCTATTAATCTCCCCATATCAGAGTCTACTTCAATACCTATTGTTTTGCATGCATCTCCACCAGTGGCTCCACCCACTGAGCATCCTCTGTACCCAGCCCCCCTGCCTCACCTGTCTGGTGCTGTGTGAAGCAATGACTCACAGCAACTCTGCAGCTCCCATCAATCACCTCCCCGTCCCTGCCTGTGTGTGTCAGCCACAGGTTCTTTCTGAGAGGAAAGTCCTTTCCCTAAGGTGCAGTACGTTCACTCAACAAGTATTTACTCAGGGCCCCTACCTACCAGGCCCACTTCTAGACACACGAGCTCTGCGCTGAACAAAGCACAACCTTCTACCCTTTCAAACTGTCGTTCTTGTGGGAACTTTAGTCCACAAATGGAGACGAGCCTTTTGGATCTCTGGTCCTTGTGCCATCCTGTCCTTCCCTGACCCACCCACGGCTCAGGGCTAATGTGCTGCTGAAGAGAGGCTGGGGGCCAGTGAGTGGCATGGTGATTAAGGTGGCTGGATCCCATATGGCTGAGTTGGCAGCTTAAAAATCACATCAGGCATGTATGCGTGCATGCCCAAAATCCCGAGAAGAGAATGGAGGCAAGGGACTGTGGTGTGGCCAGATCCTCTGAAGGGTGTTTTCTTACTTTTCCCCTTTCTCTTTCCTTCTCTGTCTCTCTCCAGTGAGTGCACATTCCCTGTAGCAAATTAAAAGAGAAAGAGAGAGAGAGATGCTAGATCCTATAAAGCAACTGATAATTGAATCTCTAGCCCAGACAGCCTGAAGCACATTCACTCATGGCAAATGCCCAGGATCCAACAGGTTGGAAGAAGGGGCTCATGGTGTGATCAAACGTACCCCTCTCTCTCTCTGACTCTCATGTGTGCATATACACACTCTATCATGGAAAAAAAGAGGAAAATAAAAAAGAAAAATAAAAAAGAATGCAACAATACATCAAAAATGGTGTGATATGGGAACGTCCTGATGACTAAACTGCTAGACTTTGAAGAAGTCAATGTTAGAACAGCCAGAAGCACTCAGCTCCCCCTCATGTCACACCAGCCCCCCAAATCTTCCAGGATACAGTGTGGCGCACACTTGGAAAATAAGGCCCTCCATGTATCTAGCTCATGCGTGTAGCCTGAGCCCGTGGCTTCATGTTCTTCTAGCCACATTTTTTTTTAACTGAGGTGGACTCAGAATCCCCAACAGCAGCAGAGGCAGTAGCATGGGGAAAGAGCCCTGGAAACAGACTCTGGAGGCTCCGGTTTGAGTGCTGGCTCTGCTGCTTACTGGGTGATCCCAGGCACAGAGTTTTCTACCAGACTCAGTTTCTCTTAGACAATCTCTAAGGACCTCTTCCAGCTTTGAAGTTGGAGGGCTGGATCAACTACCATTAACCTGAGACCCAAAAGACTGAGATGCTTAACTCAATAAAAGAAGGGGCTCCAAGTGAGGCCTGGGTCAGACATGAGAGATCTGGAGGTGAGCAAATTAGACAGGGAGTCTGCACCTCATCAGTGTGGATGGTGAACCTTCACCTGTCTCCTCCAAGATGCACCAGAATTCTTCCTTTTATTTACTCATTTATTCTCTTCCAGAAAGGTCTTGTGCCTCCTTCCGAGCACAACCTTACTAGAAACATCTCTGGGCTACAAGGCAAACCTAAAATAGAAGTTGTGCAAAATCTCTGGTGGTCCCAAAAGTCTCCCTATCTCTGACAGGAAAACCATTCCCAACGTTGTCTGTCTCTGTCTCTAGACAGAGAGCCTAAAATAAATCTCCCCGGTAGGAAATGCCTGGTTGGAATGGAAGTCACCCAAGCACAGGATAGATGGACCGCTGGCGCACACCGTGAGCTGAAGACTCACCCAGGAATCAGCTCAGAGCAGATGAGTAAAAGGCTTGAGGAGCGTCTGTCCCCTTCAACTTCCTGCAGTTTCCTTCGACCGACTGCACACAGAAAAGCAGGCCAGGCTGGAAGAAGAAAACGGACCTACTGTCCAACTCCAAGGAAAGCAGATTTTTCCTCCACTGCTCTCCTGGAGGACAGATATTGCACCAGAAGGTTGCTGAAGATATAGGTGACCAATTACAGATTCTGCTTGGGGACTGGCAGGTGTCCCCACAGTGTTATATGCAGCCTGAAGACCAGCTGACAAAACCACCAGGAAAGCTCTAGAAAATACCGTTTGCTTTAAAACAAATGAGAAAAGCATGGCCGTACAAGGTCCCTAAAATCAAAACCAGACAGGCCCATCAGCTTTGATCACGAACATTAAAAATACATTTTCTAATAACTAATGACAGTAAACTTGGTTTCTTCCCTTCCCCCAAGGGGCCCCATTGGTTCTTCCGAGGTCCCTGACCTCAATGAGGAAACCGAGATACAGGTCCCCAACCCTTTACTTGGGAGAAATGAACTTTGACTGTTTTTACTTACACGTGTACAAAGGCAGGACCGAGAGGGCAGCTTCAAAGCTGGCTGGGTGACCCGGGGGAGCACAAAGTCCTTCTCTGCACACCTGTGGGGATGTTTCGTGAATTGCCCAGGCGCCTCCACGGTACTGGTTATGTTCCCTCCAGGTCGACCCCTGTTGGGAGTTTCCATTTTGCATAGAAATAAAAGCTGTTTGGCTAGCAGCTCAGGGTGGGCCACTAGGATGGTCCCTCACTGGACTCCCAGGCAGGCCCAGCTCAGATCGGGAAGGAAGAGCCCCTCGCAGTGTCCCTGGGAAAACGCACCCAGCCTCCTGGCACACAGCCTCCTGCTACGCCTTGCCGGCACCATCTCGCAGAGCTCAGAGACACACTAATGACCGTTTCGGGTTAGTTAAAACCCACACAAGCACCTCCCTGGCCTCTTAAATCTTCCTAAACTACAGCTCAGACTGGAGGCAAGCCGTTGCAGCAACCATAAAAGTCATCTTAAAAGGCAAGTTGGAAAAAACCCTGATACGCACTAGTTAGCAAGTCCGCGGTTAGGGGGGGCCAGTGGCACGGGGTCGCATCTGTGGGATCTGTGCGCCTAGGGTGGGAAAGCAAAAGGTGCCCGGTCGGTCCCCGAGCCCCAGCGCGCCCACCTGGCAGCCTGGGGCCCCCCATCTGACGCCGGCGATCACGCCCCACAGCTCCGTCCAATTAGGAAAATGACCGCGAGGAGACGGAGAGAGGGAGACGAGGGAGGGGGG